TTGCCACTGAATACCATCCTGTCTTTCTGAAGATGAGCTTTCCCCTCACTTTCTTCCTCTAAAAACTGTAGCACCCAGGCACAGTTTACCATCTCACCATTCCCACCATTCTCATCACTAAAGGTAATTTAACAGTAAATTGTGACTGTAAAAACATCACTAGGAATAGCTTCTCCCTCTTTGTTGTCCCCTCCATATATGCTTCTGCAATCCTATTCTATACTGCAGTCTTCCCGCAGTAAATACCTGGTGCTGTGCTAACAAAATGATGCCAACTCTTCAATGTCAATAAAATAAAACAAATAATATCTATGCTATATGAAATTATATAAGGCAGCTAACACCAAAATTCAATGTTCAAATAAAGGTGAGATAACCAGCCATATAATCAGACTTAAGGTGAAAAAAACATGAATGTATTAGTCCACCACCAAAAAGTACTCTTGCTTCCAATAAAGAAATTCAAAGGTCTGCCACCGTCTCCCTGGCAGCTGACTGACACTTAGCAAGCCTCTCAATCCTGGTAGCAGAAGCCCTTTTACAGGCTGGGGATGCTGAGAGAGGCATATCTTCTTTATTTTGTCACAGAGTGGCACCCGTGGATGCATTTATTTGCCATTTGCATGTGTACATGGGACTTCTGATAAGACACAGGGGCACTTATGCTGTTGTAATGGCAGCCATCAGTTTTGGTGAGTTATGAATCCACAGGGAGACGGTGGTGGACCTTTGAAGTTGTTTATTGGAAGCATGAGCACTTTTTGATGGTAGACTGATACTTTCCAGTTTTTTTTTACCTGAAAGTCTGATTATATGGACTGTTATTTCAACATTGTATTTTTGGTATTCTTCAATGTCAGTGTTTGAGGCAATTGCAGAATTAACTGTAAAAGAGGGAGAGGAAATGGACACATATACAGTGGCTGATGGCATAGATTATGATGAAGGTTTGATTACCAACTCCACCAGCTCCTCCAGTGGTCTGGCTGTGCAGCACGCCCACTGGCAGAAAGGAAAGACAGGCATGATCTGCCTCTCAGATTATGAACCAACCATAGCTTCAGCCCATGGTTGAAGAACCTGCTCACTCAATACTAGCTATACATGAAGAACCTCTGCATCTCTCCTTATATCTAGAAGACACAGTGAAAACACAGGATTGCTTAATTTTGCATGGAAATATCTGGTACCCTGTCAAAATTATATAAAAGCAAAATATACCTGTCCACTAAAAAAGAACCTTTAACTAACACACTAAACTTCAAACACAAACCCTAAATGCTATAACTCCAGGGGCCCTTTTCGTGACTTGACATCTTGACTTGTTTTGAAATGTAACCCACCACAACACAATTCCCAGTAATGGAATATTAAACAGCACAGTGAGTATGGTGGGTACACTGCACTCTTTGTAACCCATAGCACTGCAGTTCACTATAATTTAATAGTACCACAATAGTGCTACTAGTAGTTGCAAGTCTAATTGCTACTCCCTCTACCCTTTATTATGCTGCCTCTACTCTACCTTCTCGTATTAGTATCCTCTGTTCTCAAATTCTTATTTCTTTAACCCTCTTCTCACTCCAAAGCTTTTACAGATCACCCTCACTTCTACCCTCTCCCTACTACTGTACTTGTCATCTTTTGCAAATACTTAACCCACATGCTAACCCAAACACAAGGACAGGGAGGTGTGTGCACCTATATACATCCTGCTCCCATCATACTTTCCTCACCCCCCTATCCCTTCTCCTAATCTCTAGGGATATCTCACCGAATCGTGGTCCTCCAGTATCTCACTGCCACACCCAGCACCTTTCTTCCTCTGGCAATAACCACAATTCACTCAATTTATTCTCGATCCCTCTGCTTCCAAAAACACCCCCCTTCTCATCTGCTCTCTGGAATTCCCACTCTGTCTGCAACAAACTCGCCTCTGTCCATTATATTTTTGTCTCCCATTCCCTTAACCTACTTGCAATTACTGGAATCTGGCTTTATGTGTCCACTCACTTGCCCAGACCCAGTGGATGGAAAGGAGATGGATTTGATTTGCTTATATCCCCATGTGTGTTTATTTGTAGCAATGGTAATGTATTCAATTTAGATTTATAGGTGGGACAGTTTAAACTCTACTATTCATATTGACCCCCTTATGGATAGCTAATTTCTACCAAAAAAAAATGTTGGCTCGCAACTCTCATTCATCTGGTTACATAGTTACATAGTCAGTCTGGTTGAAAAAAGACACAAATCCATCCAGTTCAACCCACAGAGGAAACACACGCACACATAGAAAACCTCCATGTACACAATCCTATATCCACAGTTGATTCAGAGGAAGGAAAAAAATAACTTGTATGATCTATATTTTGTGTTCACAAACATGTCTTATTGTTGTCCCCAACTTTGTGAATGGTCCCTTCAGTGGGTGCTTTTTGCACGTGATCACTACTCTATGTGTGATTCTTCTTATGTGGCTCATTCTGTTCTTGTGATCTCTGAATATAGGACGTGGATTGTAAGGAAAGAGAAGATGTTCCAGATTCACTTTGTCTTACATTAGTGATTGATTACTGCAGGGGTTTCCAAACTTCTCAAACAAAGGGTCAGTCTACTGACCTTCAGACTTTAGGAGGGCCGGGTTGTGGCCAGTGGGGGTAAAAATGTCCTGGGCCCAGCATCAGTGAAAATAAACATGGCCTCAGGAATGGTGGTCAGTAGGCGGAAGAGTAGTGCCCCACTGTTGGTATCAGTGGAAGGAATAGTGACCCATCGTTGGTGTCAGTGGGAGGAATAGTGCCCCATTGTTGGTGTCAGAGGGAGGAATAGTTCCCCAAGGGCCGGATAAATGCTGGAAAAGGGCTGCATCTGGCCCTTGGGCCACAATTTGGAGACACCTAGCTTATGGTAATTTTGTCTATGTCTATGTGGATTGTTTTCCCATTTGTATGCACTGCTTGTGAGGAAAGCTGTTTTTATTTTCCACTCATAGGTTTGGTCTGAGCAACTTTGGGCCTAGGTTCCCCGTGAACCATAATAAGCCAGCCTATGGGAAGCATGGCTTGTCTTTGATGAAGGAGCTTCCCTCCAGAGACAATGCCTATGTTATTTTAGTGTAAAAATTGAGGTCTCTGACCACCTGCAAGAACCCAGAAGTCACTATAGAAGAGCCCCGATGATCATATATTAAGAATGGCATGCAGACCTTACACTTGAATTAACTGCCTCCCACCTGCCATATAAGGAAATTACTGGAGGGAGGCGGTTCTTTCATTCTGGGACATCCCCACAATCTAACTGCACATGCTCTCCCCCCCAGGGGTGTACGATGAGGCAATTGGTGGTGCGCTGTGTCCCTGGGACACCGATCACCGTGCTGCGCTCCCCCGGGGGCACACACATGCGGTTAGAGTGGGAGGATGTCATATGACATCCTCCAGGGGTGGACTGACAACTCATGGGGCCCCCGGGCAATAGGGGATCATGGGGCCCCTGTATCCTTGCCCAAACTCAAAAAAGTCTATGAAAAAGGTACCAGGGGCATCTCATGGGGCCCCCTACTGACCCCGAGCTCTCAGGCAGTGCCCGAGTTTCCAAATGGTCAGTGCGCCCCTGACGTCCTCCCAGAACGAGAGAACCACCGCGCTCCCATCATTTCCTTATATGGTGGGCAGGAGGTGGTTAAAGTAAGATTTATTAATAGTGAAGTAAAAACCAATCCAACACCAGCAAACAGAATACAGAGCAAATGTGAAAATATTTGTAAACATTAAACCAAGTGACAAAATACCTATATAATAAAACAATATATACAACGAAGGGAAGAAAAACAGGTGAGAAAGGAACAACCGGGAAGATCAGGAAGGGGACCAGAACTGGAATCAAGAACAAGGGCAGCAAATGAGTTAGCAGGGTACAGGATGCATATACTGTGACAGAATCAGGGTAGGAATCAGCATATCATTTTTGATAAAAAAAGATTTTTCTTAGTTTCTGTTATAAAATTTTGTAAATAAGTAATTTTTCTCCTTCACTGATGTGCGCTAATGAGGCTGTAGTGATGGGCACTGATAGGCGGCACTGATAGGCACTGATGAGGAGGCACTGGTAGGTGGCACTGATGGGCACTGACAGGCATCACTGGTGGGCAGGCACGGACTGACCATTTGGAAACTCGGGTACGGCCCGAGGGCCCGGGGTCAGTAGAGGGCCCCATGAGATGCCCCTGGTACCTTTTTCATAGGCATTTTTGAGTTTGGGCAAGGACACAGGGGCCCCATGATCCCCTATTGCCCGGGGGCCCCATGAGTTGTCAGTCCGCCCCTGCTGGTGGGCATTGGTAGGTGGCACTGATGGGCATTGACAGGCATCACTGGCCTATCAGTGCCCATCAGTGCAGCCTTCAGTGCCCATCACTGGAGCCTCATTTTCAGTTGTTTTTGGTTTGTTTAGCAAAAAATAAAAAACCCCCAGAGGTGATTAATAGAGATGAGCGAAGAAATGAAAAATTCGATTCGACTGATTAGGCGAATTCGTGGACAATATTCGATTCGAGTCGAATAAATTCGCTGTGAATTTAACTTAAAAAAGGGTGTTTCTAGGCTTCAGAGAGACTTAATATTAGTGCAGAACACTGTACCTTTAATTTAAATGCCCTTGGAGTCTGCTGGGGAAGAGAAATAATACTGTCACTCAGTATGACATGCAGATGAGTGCCGTCGATCTTAGAATCACCGCACACTTCACTCATTTGGCCAGTCACGGGGCCAAAACCAGTGTTTGGAGCCACAGTGTGGCGGTGGAGGCAGCAGCAATGCAATGGGAGGCCATACAGCAACCTATGACAAAATGGAAACCAGCAGGAGTGTGAGGAGACCTGAAAGTGGCACATGGCAGAGTGGGAGCAATGGGTGGCGGTACAGGGACCCAGGTCACACTGTGGGCCCAGCAGCAGCGTGACCAGGCGGTACGGGGGGCCCATGGCAGATTTGGGGCCTGGCAGCACCTATGGGAGGCCTGTAACCTGCCAGCAACCTATGACAAAATGGAAAACCGCAGGAGTGTGAGGAGACCTCAAAGTGGCACATGGCAGAGTGGGAGCAATGGGAGGCGGTACAGGGACCCAGGTCACACTGTGGGACCAGCATCAGCGTGAACAGGCGGTACGGGGGCCCATGGCCGATTTGACCTCGTTCATTCCATAGTCCTGCCGACTCACGAATAGCGTGGCCTCCTCAAAGGGCCTGAGCAAGCGCAGGTGTCACGCATGAGCTGACAATGGCTGACATCTAAGTTACACAGGGAGTACCTTTATCCGCTTTTAACATCAGGAAATCTGTGATGGCCTTTCGCTGTTCGTAAAGGCGGTCTAACATATGTAGTGTTGAATTCCACCTTGTTGCAACGTCACAGCATGAGGAGTCGGTACGGGGGCCCATGGCAGATTACGTGCCTGGCAGCAGCAGCAATGGGAGGCCCGTAATCTGCCAGCACCCTATGTCAAAAAATTGAACACACCAGCAGTGTGAGGAGACCTCAAAGTGGCACATGGCAGAGTGGGAGCAATGGGAGGCGGCGGTACAGGGACCCAGGTCACACTGTGGGCTCAGCAGCAGCGTGACCAGGCGGTGCGGGGGCCCATGGCCGATTTGGGGCCTGGCAGGCACCTATAGAAGGCCTGTAATCTGCCAGCAACCCTATGGCAAAAAATGGACAACCGCAGGAGTGTGAGGAGATTTCAAAGTGGCACATGGCAGAGTGGAAGCAATGGGAGGCCGTACAGGGACCCAGGTCACACTGTGGGCTCAGCAGCAGCAGCGTGACCAGGCGGTACGGGGGCCCATGGCCGATTTGGGGCCTGGCGGCACCTATGGGAGGCCTGTAATCTGCCAGCACCCTATGACAAAAAATGGAACCCTGGGCTGGGGAGCAGGCAGAACCGCCGTATCTTTATCACGGTTTTCCCAGGCCACCGAATGGCAACACTGCATATGCTGATGCAACGCTGTAGTCCCAGGCATGGGCCTACTGGCCACGCTTGACTTTCTGGCCACATAGTCGACATACGGCTACGTTTACTTCCTCGGGCGGCTTGACGAAAAAGGGCCACACCGCAGAGTAGGAAACTTTGCCTCCGCTACTCCTCACTGGCTGACTGCTACTTCCTCCGTGCACACCGGCACCACTACTGGCCGTGGTGGTAGGCTGCAGTGGAGCTGGTGCTCTACTCCGTGGCCGTTTGCCTCCACTGACACTGCTGCGACCCTGCTGCCTCCTGGCAGCAGCAATGGGAGGCCGTACAGGGACCCATGAGAGACTCTGGACTCTGGACTTGGCAGCAGCATGAGGAGGCGGTATATAGGGGCCCATGGCAGATTAGGGGCCTGGCAGCAGCTATAGGAGGCCCGTAATCTGCCAGCACCCTATGTCAAAAAATTCAACACACCAGCAGTGTGTGAGGAGACCTGAAAGTGGCACATGGCAGAGTGTGGCGATGGAGACAGCAGCAATGGGAGGCCGTACAGGGACCCATGAGAGACTCTGGACCTGGCAGCAGCATGAGGAGGCGGTATATAGGGGCCCATGGCAGATTAGGGGCCTGGCAGCAGCTATAGGAGGCCCGTAATCTGCCAGCACCCTATGTCAAAAAATTCAACACACCAGCAGTGTGTGAGGAGACCTGAAAGTGGCACATGGCAGAGTGTGGCGATGGAGACAGCAGCAATGGGAGGCCGTACAGGGACCCATGAGAGACTCTGGACCTGGCAGCAGCATGAGGAGGCGGTATATAGGGGCCCATGGCAGATTAGGGGCCTGGCAGCAGCTATAGGGAGGCCCGTAATCTGCCAGCACCCTATGTCAAAAAATTCTACACACCAGCAGTGTGTGAGGAGACCTGAAAGTGGCACATGGCAGAGTGTGGCGATGGAGACAGCAGCAATGGGAGGCCGTACAGGGACCCATGAGAGACTCTGGACCTGGCAGCAGCATGAGGAGGCGGTATATAGGGGCCCATGGCAGATTAGGGGCCTGGCAGCAGCTATAGGAGGCCCGTAATCTGCCAGCACCCTATGTCAAAAAATTCTACACACCAGCAGTGTGAGGAGACCTGAAAGTGGCACATGGCAGAGTGTGGCGATGGAGACAGCAGCAATGGGAGGCCGTACAGGGACCCATGAGAGACTCTGGACCTGGCAGCAGCATGAGGAGGCGGCGGTATATAGGGGCCTATGGCAGATTAGGGGGCCTGGCAGCAGCTATAGGAGGCCCGTAATCTGCCAGCACCCTATGTCAAAAAATTCAACACACCAGCAGTGTGAGGAGACCTGAAAGTGGCACATGGCAGAGTGTGGCGATGGAGACAGCAGCAATGGGAGGCCGTACAGGGACCCATGATGAGACTCTGGACCTGGCAGCAGCATGAGGAGGCGGTATATAGGGGCCCATGGCAGATTAGGGGCCTGGCAGCAGCTATAGGAGGCCCGTAATCTGCCAGCACCCTATGTCAAAAAATTCAACACACCAGCAGTGTGAGGAGACCTGAAAGTGGCACATGGCAGAGTGTGGCGATGGAGACAGCAGCAATGGGAGGCCGTACAGGGACCCATGAGAGACTCTGGACTTGGCAGCAGCATGAGGAGGCGGTATATAGGGGCCCATGGCAGATTAGGGGCCTGGCAGCAGCTATAGGAGGCCCGTAATCTGCCAGCACCCTATGTCAAAAAATTCTACACACCAGCAGTGTGTGAGGAGACCTGAAAGTGGCACATGGCAGAGTGTGGCGATGGAGACAGCAGCAATGGGAGGCCGTACAGGGACCCATGAGAGACTCTGGACCTGGCAGCAGCATGAGGAGGCGGTATATAGGGGCCCATGGCAGATTTTAGGGGCCTGGCAGCAGCTATAGGAGGCCCGTAATCTGCCAGCACCCTATGTCAAAAAATTCTACACACCAGCAGTGTGAGGAGACCTGAAAGTGGCACATGGCAGAGTGTGGGCGATGGAGATGGAGACAGCAGCAATGGGAGGCCGTACAGGGACCCATGAGAGACTCTGGACCTGGCAGCAGCATGAGGAGGCGGTATATAGGGGCCCATGGCAGATTAGGGGCCTGGCAGCAGCTATAGGAGGCCCGTAATCTGCCAGCACCCTATGTCAAAAAAATTCAACACACAGCAGTGTGAGGAGACCTGAAAGTGGCACATGGCAGAGTGTGGCGATGGAGACAGCAGCAATGGGAGGCCGTACAGGGACCCATGAGAGACTCTGGACCTGGCAGCAGCATGAGGAGGCGGTATATAGGGGCCCATGGCAGATTAGGGGCCTGGCAGCAGCTATGGAGGCCCGTAATCTGCCAGCACCCTATGTCAAAAAATTAACACACCAGCAGTGTGTGAGGAGACCTGAAAGTGGCACATGGCAGAGTGTGGCGATGGAGACAGCAGCAATGGGAGGCCGTACAGGGACCCATGAGAGACTCTGGACCTGGCAGCAGCATGAGGAGGCGGTATATATAGGGGCCCATGGCAGATTAGGGGCCTGGCAGCAGCTATAGGAGGCCCGTAATCTGCCAGCACCCTATGTCAAAAAATTCAACACACCAGCAGTGTGTGAGGAGACCTGAAAGTGGCACATGGCAGAGTGTGGCGATGGAGACAGCAGCAATGGGAGGCCGTACAGGGACCCATGAGAGACTCTGGACCTGGCAGCAGCATGAGGAGGCGGTATATAGGGGCCCATGGCAGATTAGGGGCCTGGCAGCAGCTATAGGAGGCCCGTAATCTGCCAGCACCCTATGTCAAAAAATTCAACACACCAGCAGTGTGTGAGGAGACCTGAAAGTGGCACATGGCAGAGTGTGGCTGGAGACAGCAGCAATGGGAGGCCGTACAGGGACCCATGAGAGACTCTGGACCTGGCAGCAGCATGAGGAGGCGGTATATAGGGGCCCATGGCAGATTAGGGGCCTGGCAGCAGCTATGGGAGGCCCGTAATCTGCCAGCACCCTATGACAAAAAATTGGAACACACCAGCAGTGTGTGAGGAGACCTGAAAGTGGCACATGTTTGAGGCATGATTCATGGCGGATTTAGTCAGTTGTGTCAGGAACTGGTGGTTTGAAATCCAGACTAATCCACGCCTGATTCATTTTCACAAACGTGAGTCTCTCCACACTTTGGGTGGACAGTCGTGTCCTCCGCGGAGTTACAATACCTCCTGCCGCACTAAAACACGCGCTCCGATGCCACGCTACTGGCCGGGCATGACAGCCTTTCAAGGGCAAATTCAGCTAGTTGGGGCCAAAGGTCAAGTTTCGTTGCCCAGTAGTCAAGGGGATTGTCTACCTCGGTTGCAGGGTGCTGTCCAAGTAGGCCCAAGCCTGTTGTTTGAGGTCCTGCTCCAGGTCCACCTGATGCTGCTGCTGCTGCTGCTGCTGCTGCTGCTGGTGGTTAGTAGTTTCCTCACTGCGCTGGTGAAGAAAGCTACTCATCATCATCGACTGCAGACTGAGGCAGCCGCTGCTGGTGGAGCTGCCACTGCTCCTACCACCCCACCCCTCCCCTGCTGCCATGGCAGCGGAACGCGAGCGCACAGGGCCCACAGTGTCTGAGGATGGACGTTGGCGCACAAAGCAGAGACCAACTGACTACATAGGTGGTTTTTATAGTACGTTATTTTGGCCTCCCTCTCAGCAGGTGTGAAAAAAGGCCACCATTTTTGAACGGTAGCGAGGGTCCAACAAGGTGGACAGCCAAAAGTCATCCCTCTGTCTGATGGTTATTATTCGGCTGTCGCTACGCAAGCAACCGAGCATGCTATGGGCCATTTGTGCCAAGGAAAATGCGAGGGACTCCCTGCCTCCATCTCCACAGCATACTGCCACGGTGCGTCTGGGTCCTCTGTCTCCTCCTCCTCCCTCCTCCTCTACCAGATGCTCCTGCTCCTCCACTCCTGTCCGCTGAGTGGAAAAAAACCACCCATTTCACTCAATAATTCCTGAGCACAAATGTCCTCCTCTACCTCCTCCTCTTCTTCCTGTCCTGCCCCCACAGGGGTCATGTGGCGTTGAGATCTGTGCGCCACGTCTACCGCACCCTGACCAGCCATTGTTAACAGCATTTGTTCAAGGACGTGCAACAGAGGAATGACGTCGTTCATCCCATAGTCCTGCCGACTCACGAATAGCGTGGCCTCCTCAAAGGGCCTGAGCAAGCGGCAGGTGTCACGCATGAGCTGCCAATGGCTGACATCGAAGTTACACAGGGGAGTACCTTTATTTATCCGCTTGTAACATCAGGAAATCGGTGATGGCCTTTCGCTGCTCGTAAAGGCGGTCTCTAATGTGTAGGGTTGAATTCCACCTTGTTGCAACGTCGCAGATCAGGCGATGATGGGAATTCCGTTCTGCCGCTGCAGCTCAAGGAGGGTGTGCTTTGCGGTGTAGGAATGGCTGAAATGAAATGCATGCAAAGTTTACGTGACATTTTAAGGATGTCTTGCAGTGGGATGGTGGATTTTAGGAACCGCTTGACAACCAGATTGAACACGTGAGCCATGCATGGCGCATGGCACAACCTTCCTTGACGCAGAGCAGACACCATGTTCTTTCCGTTGTCGGTCAACATGGTTCCGATTTTCAGTTTGCGCGGGAGACAGCCATCTGTCGATTTCTCTGTTCATTACACTGAGAAGTTCCTCCCCTGTGACTACGTTCGCCTGGACCTGGCAGCAGCATGAGGAGGCGGTATATAGGGGCCCATGGCAGATTAGGGGCCTGGCAGCAGCTATAGGAGGCCCGTAATCTGCCAGC